GCTTTCCTGCTTATGGAATGCAACTTCAAGCGCTGCTGAGCCCAGAAAACACGAAGGAGTCGTGAAAACCCACAAGCAGTGCTCTGCATCTGTCCTCGGATGCAAACAAGCTACAGTGACTCTATCCTTCCCTTCTGCTCCCTCACAGATCTTTTCCAAGAGGAAATGTGCAGAAGGGACAGATGGAAGCAATGCTGTTGAAGTGAGAGTTGCTACAGCAGAAATTTGAATGCCAGTTACTGGTGCTCAAAAGGCTAGCTATAGGCACATTCACAACTGTGGGAGATGGAGCATCACACTCAAAATTAGAGATGTTACCCCTACAAGAACGCACAGGCAGTGCTTGCTTGCCACTCTGCTCCACAGTTATACAGGGCAGAGCTGTTTGTCCTCTACTTCTTTCAGTTTGGCCAGATAGACAAGCTTCCCTCTACTGAAAAATGCATCCACCCCAGGGAGTGCTGCAAGAAGAGCAACACTCCAACCTGTTCAGCACAAAACCTAAGGCTGAAATAGCAGATGCTCCCTGCATCTTTCTTTAGATGCTGCAGCAGGAGAATGGGGCCTGCCATCCTCAGCCACAATCCAGGCATCTCTGCAACCAGAATATTCCTCACAGGAGCAGCAGCCTTAGCGATGATTTGCCTTCTAGAGCATCTGGGGAACTAACACAGGGAGAAGTATCTTCCCGACCCTCTGAGCCATGAAAACAAAGCTCCCCATTAGAAGTGGTCCTTGCCTCAGAATTGCTCTGGAATAGATGTTCTCATAATTCCTATTGAAATGCAAAGAAAGGGACTGACTACTGTATCCATAGTCTCTTAAAATGGCAATAATAGACTTGAGCTCTCATCTCCCTCTCATAGCCTTGTGAATTAAGTAGAGGTCTTTTCTAGAACCACAGTAGCATTTTAATACACAGAATCTATTTAGGCCCAGCAGTTTCAGTCTACATACCTCTGGCTTTAACTGCAATCATCAGACATCTCCATGAGACCATGAAGAATCTCTGGAATTGAGTGAAAGGCCCTAAATAGTAACAAAGCCTAGCAAGAAGAGCTCAGATACCACCTTAGTGCCAGTCTCTAGCTACATTTGGCGAGGTTGTGTTCGGCAATTCCAAATCACGTGGCCTGCAGCACGTGAGCTAACTTCTAAGGCTACATTTCCCACTCTTCCTTCCTCAGCAGACACCTGCTGCGGAAAGAATGACAGCAACACTAGCAGCATGAAGTAGATACAGTAAAGAAAGCTAGTTCAGCAGCAGTTATATAGATCCAAAGGCAGTAAAGATCTTAATAGCATCTGGCTAGTCAGGCTGAAAGAAGCACTCTGCTCTTTGGTGCTCAAAGGAAACTAGGACAGATAGGTTTCTTGTGAAACCCTGCTATCCTGCACGGAAGGTGCTTCTCCTTGGGATTCCGGAGCCGAGTCATGACTGTTATGCTGGGCTTGGAATTGGGAATCCAAACTGTAGACCCACAAGAGCCTTCTAATAGCTGTTTGGGCAGCAAGTCTCAGAGGGCTATAGCAGAAGCTGGATAATAGAAACAGTGGCTCTGTGAACTTTCAGAGCCACTGGACTATCTCTGGCACAGCATAGGGAGGCTACAGTCCTCCCAATGCTGGGATATACCATAGCTGTCTTCAGTGCAAGCATGGACACAAGGTCCTCTCCTCTGCATGCTCTTGGATAACTGCTTCAAAAACAGAGAAACTGACTTCCTACTGAAAGCAATACCTTCTCCCACAGCCATAGCTTTAAAAAAACCTCCACAGCACTAAGGCAACACAAATACCGCATCAAAGTGTGTCTTCTGCAGAAGGCATAGATAGATTACAGGAGCCATCTGGAGCCACTGAAATTAACATGCACTTCGTGAATAAAACAGCCACATGCCCAGACACCACATGGGCTAGTGTCTAACAAAAATAAGTCACAGTCACGAAAGTAATAAAATCAAAATAAAGTCAGATAAAGAAAAGAGGGAAAGTAGAAAGTGCAATGGTGTATGTGTTGCAACTTCCATTAGCGTTTTTCTTACTTCAGGCAAGAAAGGGTACAAGTATGTGTGCTACTCTCTAACCATCCACAAGAACCCATCCGAGAAGGGTGGGGGGAATGCACATATCGTACAGGTACTGCTTCGGCAGAGTACCCATAGCATACAATTGCCCAAAGCAGAAATGCCTTTACGAATCTCTCGAAGAGTAAAGTTAGTAAGTTTTTTCCTGTACAGAATATTCCGAAGCTCAGCAACTTAAGAGCAGTCCCCAATAACAGTCATGCACAAAAGAAAACATGATCTATCTGTTATGTGGCTAAAACAACATCACATATGATACTTGAGATACTTCATAAAAGCCTTTTTTCCAAAGCTCCAGGCTCCCCCGACTATGGCATGTTTGAAACAAAGTCAGCTAACACAAGCAGGCTACAGGTCATTTGCGTCTACCAGTGCTTCGCTGACATTGCCCCCCGTTGCCAGCGATTTGAAGTGGCTGCTGTTGTAGACTAGCTGAACTTCTGAGATCTCTACGGTCTCCAGTTCCTCTTGCGTCTGGCGATCTATCACATGCAGCTTCTCCACACTGTCCAGAAGCACTGCTGTCCGTGAGTTTATCCACTGAAAAGGCAACAAATGGCAGATTTCAGCCCTGCACACACGATTAGAGGCTGACTGAACATTCCGGAGTACCCATATCTTAAGTTCTAGGACGGCTAGTAGCTTTGTTACTATGCATGATCACTTCACAGCAGCAGCCATGCATAACTGCAAAGGTAAAGACAGGAGACTCCTCCTGGAATATCAGCTTAACACTGGGAAATATCATAAGGAATCTTCTTCACACAAAAACACACACAAATGGTAATCCACCAGAGTTGTTCTTTTGGTGCACTATTTATGCTCTAGCACACCTTTTATTAAAGGTCTCAAAAACTTGACAACTACACCAATCTGTTCTCAAATCCTTTAAGAGGTAAATATGGCATCAAGAGACATGCTGGCATTAAAGTACATCTAAGTATAACTCAAAGCCTGTCACGCATATTCTATAATTTACATTTTCATGACCAAAGCACTGCAAACAGAAAAGCTTTTTCCCTTTTCTTTCAGATTTTTTTTAAACACTCAAACACATTTGTTAACAATCTTCAAATTCCAGCTAAGGTGGATGTTCACCTTTGCATTTTGGCCTTCAACGTTTTATTATCTGTATTCTTTAACTGTGTTTCAGAAGTAGCAAACAGAACGATCGTGGTTTAGCAGGCACACACCTATGGAAACATACTAGAATTTTACTGAGACAATGACACAAAAGTTTGCATTCTTTTAGTAAGGACTTAGAATAAAAATCTTTCTTACCAGATTCTCTCCGGCTCTTGAAAACAATTTCCTTAATAAGGGTCCTCCTATCCCAAGGAAGGCCAGTAGGTTGCCTACACGCTACATGTTTCACTCAGTAGATACTACTTACCTTGTTATTTCACTTATGCTAGTTTTCCACTGAGTCCCAGTTTAAGATTATTTTCAATTAGTGAACTCCAGATAAATATAACCAGTTCTTACGCCAGATGTGTAAAGCTAATAGTATAGAACTAAGGGCTATTAAGATCCATTTACCAGCAAGTCAGCACAAAAAATTTAATCATTCAATAGCATTGAGACTTACAGAAAAATTGATGAGGTCATAGTGCAGATGAAGCTGCTTCTGCTTTGTGACGTGTATTGCACCAGTATCATCTCTCTTTACCTAAAAGAGAAATCAGACAAGACCAACTGAAGTTCAAAGACTTTTTTTCTTAACTCAAGCTCTGTTCCCAGAGGGCATATCACACCAACTCCAGGATTCGGCGCTCTCCTCAGACAAGCAGGCTGAGCGGGCACTAGCAGGGCATGTGGTTCCGTTCTGACACAGAACGCAATTCCCTCACTTTCAAAGGCAGTAATACAAGTGAGAAAGCAGCAGAGGACTGGCTCTGAGCAAGGGGAAAAAAATACATATCCTCTGTTGGATTAACTTTTAATCATTTATTTGCACTACAGCAGCTGCAGGAGATAAATGTCACAAGCAGGCACCATGTGTTCAAGGAATTCTTTCTTTTCCCTCTGCGTATTATGTAAGGCAATTCAGTTTCCAGGAGAGATGCAAACCTTCAGCACTCAGAGGGCCCCGAAGGAGGACTGATTTTTATTCACCGACCCTCCAGGGGCCGAACTGAAGGGAGATGCTGCAAGACAACTCTCAGTCAAGGGCCCTTTTTTTCCTGTACTCTTTGCTCGTAAAAGTCAGCGCAACAGAACGCTAATGCTAAACTGGCTTTGATTCATCCTCTGGAAAAATAAAATATTTCACAACAAAAAATAAGGTTTTTTACACTTGGACAATTTGAAACATAGCAAGAGGGTTCTGAATTTGCGTAACATGGCTGTTGTTTAATAGCCTATAAGTAGGGCCACACCAATGGCCGCAGCTGAGCACAGTGCACAGGCCTGGTGATACTGTGCACACGCACATCTCCAGCAAGACAGGTTCCACTTAAATATGCATCCTTTTCTTTCTCCCCAAGAGTATCATGAGAGAGAATATAGATGAGAAAGAGGATTTAATCGCATTGTACAGATAGAAACCTGAAATCAGACAGGACAGGACAGTGTCTGGGTGCTTGAGTACAGCTCAAGGTCCAAGACTATAGCAGAGCTGGGAACTAAACCCAGCGCTCCAAAGCCAAAACGCTAGATTTTCTGAAGCCTATGCACTTGTTCTCATACTGAAATCAGACATGAACACCTACAAACAACTTTATGTGCGTGAATAACTTCTACAGGTCTAAACAGGAAGAAGGGCATGCTTAAAGTCACATGCCAGCAGGACTTCCCAGCAGTTGCTTCTTAGTGGTTTATACAAGTTCTCCAGACCTACAGGTTAAAAGGAAAAATAAAATAACATCTCAAATTCAGGTGCTCTCTTGGAAATAATCTAGCTTCTTCCAGCTCCAGTGGAAATCAGATGAGCCCCAGATCAACACTTCCCTCATGAACACAAAGTCCAAGCCTCTAGATTCTCACGGAAGGGCACCAGTGTTTGCTAAAGGGCAATGACCAACCAGTTTCTTTTCCCAAGTCAGTCACAAGCTGCAGAGGTCCCTAGCATTCAGGTACAGTTCCATTGAGCCAAAGGCTCAATGAACTGAATATCTGAAAAGCAGCAGATAACGTCCAAGCTTACCAGAAGAAAATGAACAACATCTCCTCGACAAAAGGCAAGCATGGGGTTCACGGAGTTCTGCACAGCCACAAAGTGCCACGCCAGAAGCGGGACACTAGAAGGGTCCATCTGAAAGACGAAAAGCACAGATTGTATTTAAGGCAGGTAGGACGGAGCCTTAGTTCCAGGACATGTGTTGCTCATCAGCTTCTACTCACCAACTTTGCTATGTACACACAGGCCATAAAACAATTTCTTGGACTGTTGGCATTTGAGCTGTAGCTTGTGCTGCTTGGTCCCACCACACGGTTTAGAGGCAACATGTGTCTCTTGGCAAAGTGGCCTGGCTACTTAAAGTGGATCCAGCCTCACGTGGCTGGATGGACCGTTACAAGCTGCAACTTGCTAACAGTGCCCGCTCCTCCATTCTCCCACTCTAACATAGCCCATGCTTCCCCTTGCTGCTTTTCTCTCAGGAATTTTATCAGTTAATAGAGCTCAGAAGATAGGTTTAGTGCTCTAACTCTAGCACTAACTCCACTCCGCTTCCGTCCATACAATCAGGGGTTTTATTATTTATTATTATTTATATATGTGGCAATTGCGGCCACATCCAGGTCAACGTCCCATCTGTGGGAGCTTCAAGGCCACAACAGGGAAGGGGTGAAGCTGAGGGGCTCCTGAGTTCCTCTCTCCCTACTTACTGGAAGAAGTCAGCATCGCTGCAGAGGTACAACTTAAAGTAGCCTTTTCACCTCCTCTCCGTTCACAGTCTGAGCACATCAGATTATCCCCGCGATCCCACAATGCTAAGTTTACCGTGTGCTGACAAAAAGTAGCAACATCTAACTCCTGGTCCTAATCTCATCCTCTTCACTGTAAAAATTGTTTGTGGCTGTAACCCAAAAAAAGCAAGCACTTGGCTTCATTACTCACACGACCATAGGGGAAAGTCATCCACACTTTCAGAGATGGCTTCAAGCCAATGACTAGTATCTTCAAGAAAAACAAAAAGGCAAAATAAAATATTTGAGTATATGCCAGAAAACTTCTCCTTTTTAACTCCTCAAAGCCCTCCGCAAGCTACAAATTACCTTTGTCAGGGAAGCCATGGCCAGCAGTGAATACTGGGTAATAGGGTGGTCTCTCAGCTCAACTTTCGCATGTAGTGGTTCAATACAGCAAACTTCTCCCTTTGAGCCGCTGAAGAGACATCGAGATTCACACGTCCTCACTCCCATTACCCTTCTGGAAAGGAGGCAAATCATCTTGGTGACCAGCTATCGAGAGGAGATCAGCCTGACAGTCTCAAGAAATCTGAAGCATGATCCTTCCTAAATATTATTTTTAAAAAGTCCTTGTCATTAGAGGCAGTCCAAAACAGCTTCAGGTACAGACAGGTACAAACAAGAACTCCTTAGAATTTTATTCAACAATAAACTCTTGACCATTCCTGGACATGATTAGTTTTCTTAGACTGTCAGGACCAATCCTTCCTCCTTGTCCCACATCCTCCTCTTCCTGAAGAGGCTCAAGAAGAGAACAAGCAGTTACTGCAGGACAGCTCTCACTAATGAAAAATATGGGAAAACTAAGAGGCAGCACTTTTATGACAACCACCTGGAGCCAACAAGGAATGCCAAGATCCTGGACCAATACATATATACCTTAATAACTTTGGCTATTCTTTGACTTACACAGGCAGACAGCATCTTGCTTCAGCTGTGAAATTATACTGCAGCCCTAAACTATATATTCAACATTCAGACAGTAGCTTTATTGGTTCAAATACTTTTTTGTTTTGGCTTTAGAACCTATGACCCAGCACTAGCTGCTTGTATTGCCACTTTCTACGAGTTAAGAGTTATTGCCTTACTTAAATGACAGTTCAAACACGGAGCCTCCGCTGTCATTGCAAATTGCAAGCGTCGGGTCATCTGTAAACTGAGCACATAATTAGATTAAAATTTGCACGATGAAATAACTACCATAAAAAATATCTAGAAGAAGGTATGCTTTTGCACTATTAACAGAACACAAATTTACATTCCTTGTATCTACCATAAAAACACCTTTAACGTGTATCGTGGAGACAATTATCGGCTTTTTTATTTTGTGGAAGAGATGCAAGGCTTTGTGTTTTACCCTCGTACCTCCAACAGGCTTTATTGCTAGATTTTATTACCAAAGTCCTATTACTTTCTAGTCCAGCTCAGAACTATAGCATACAAAAACCTGTGTTACCACTAGAGTAGCTCAACTCTCTGATGGGAGGGGTCCACACAAAGCAAAGCCACACGCAAAATCAGAAATGAGTAAATACTCATTTCTAGGTGAAAACAATATTATGGTGAACAAGAAGTCATACGAAGAGAAGATGAGTGTTGACTTACACTAAGTGTAGATACCCAGCGCTCATTTGCTGGCTTATCTTGAGTTGGTGAGAACGAATGCATCTGCCTTGTGTTGTTAAGCAGAGTCTTGCATTTCACGATTGCCATCTATCACTCCATACCTAATAGACGAATTCTCTTTCGGCTCAAACCCTCCCCAAAAAGTTATTTGAAAAACTGCAGAAAGAAGCTACTTTATACACTTCATACTCACTTAACTCTAAGGTGGTCAAGCCAAGTATCCAGTTCAAATCACTGCAAGTTTTAGAGAAATGATACTTTAAAGTAACTAATTCTTCATAGATTTTTGGCATGCGAGAGGGGAGTTACAACAAACTCGGTTGTCCCCTATAACTCACAGCCAATACTGTGATTTCAGCTCTCGAAGCATTCAGTTTCTTTTCTTAAACAGAATTTCTGTTAATTTTTCTCACCTCTGGATATTACGGCCATATAGGTCCCAGGTAGCTGTTCTTATCTGTAAATCTAAAAGTACTTTACAAAAAAGAGTAATAAATCTGACAGAACACAAGCCATTGAAAAGAAAAAAGGGCTAGTCAAGGAGTACACAGTGTTTGTTACCTTGATGTGCAAAATGGCTGTTCCTGGGGGATGAGCATCTGTTATTGATCGCAGCAGCTTCCCACTGGCCAGATCCCACATTGTGATCTGCAAATAGATTTTTCTCCATACAAATGTTTGCTGCCAAGAAGTTCTCTCCATCACCTTGTGCACTGGCACAGTAGTAAGTTCCTATATCCTCAACAATATCCTCAACATCCTCCTGGCTTTGTGGGTCTTCACATCAAAGAAAAGTGATCTGTGACTTGTCCCTAACTTATGTTTATAAGCTATTTATTTTGCCTGCCTGTACTCTCATTGAGAAACCATCTCAGCTCTGAATTACAACAGCTCTGAATTACTTCCTTTTGTCAAAGCTCTCAGCATCTGCCCAAGCATATTCGCTTCATAGCCATTTGTCTGAGAACCCAATTAAAGAGCGCAGGATAACTTTGCCACAGCATACCACCGTTCAAAGCGGTTCAACATATTTTTTTTTCCCTCTCAGAAGCAGTGAACAATTAAACATTCCGTGCTAATAACCATTAGTGACGCTCAAGCATCTCCAAGGCTACCACGAACCTGTGAACCCTCTGCTCCTGCATTTGCTCAGCATGACAGGTTATCAGGAGTATACAACCTGGTTTTCTTGGCTTGCTCTTAGAAATTAAATCCAAGCAATTTCTTAGTTAAGAAGCAAGAAGCCCCAAACTACTTATTGCAGTACTGAGGAATATTTGGCCCAGAAAAGTTGAAATTACAATTTGAATCAAACTTTTTACTGGAAATATCATTTCATATGGTTCCATGAATTATCTGTGAAAGTGTCACAGACCAGCCAGTTCAGAACTGTTGCTCTAAAATATTTTATCTGAGTACCATTTTAAAGTGGCCACTGCCCTGCTTGGATCAAATCTGTATTTCTACATGCGCTAGAGCAGTCTGTCATTTAGCCCTATCACAGGCACTGGAGTGTGTTTTATCCAATATAAAAGTGAAAGCTGAAGGAGCAAAGGGAAATGAAACTAGAAAGAAACATGAAGCAGCCTTCTTTCTATTTCATGGATCTAAATTTTACCAAGTTAACTTCTATCCAGTTGGTTTTAGTCCCATAACTTTTGTTCAGGAATTGCTATCTTTCTTTAGGTCCAGAGAAGGGGCATAAAATGATAACAGAATATTCAAACTCTTTTTCCTGAAGTTCAATAAGCTACATTGCTTCACTAATACAAAAGAATTAAGGTTTCAGTAGCCTTGAACTTTGGAGCTAGATCTGAACTTGAATAAATGCCTTTCAAGTCATCACTACAGTAAAAATTAGCTTTAATTATAAAGCATAGATCTTATAAACTGATCTAGAAAGACTAAGGTGGTTGTACCGATGGGAACGTTTTATTTTATCAGGAGCGGGACTTTGTTATGCCATGACTAGCAATGACCAATTAATTCCTTCACCCCATTCTGTATCACCCTCTTCCTTCACAGAAACCTACCCTAACCCATTTATTCGGTCAGCTCGCTGTATGCAGGAATCAACTGGCCAAAAAAGCCCTGGGCAGGTCAAGACATGCACGCTGCTTCTCAGCACGAAAATAATCACCAAAGAGCCACATACTGTGCGCACTCAGCTTGGCTCTGTTGTCACCTCTGGACCATATATAGATAATCCCCCAGTAGGATTCTGCAGAAGGACACAGCACGAGATAAGTCTCATCCTCTAGGAATTACCTGTCCTTTTGCAAAGCCACACAGCAGCCTCGAACAGTCATTGTTGATACTGAGAGCAGAGATAGCCCCGTACTGAGCCCCAATAGCAGTGCTGCCCAGACAAAGTCGAAGAGCCTGGTTTTGATCTAGAATAGAAGAATTAGTGAGAAATTAAGGAGAAAGAAAGAGTAACGATTAAAACCAGTAATATGCAGTGATTTGCAGATACAATTCACTTGGGGTACATTTACTATTCATAGGCTTACAGTCAAGCTCCTAAAGAAGAGTTTGCAGGATCAGGGAACAAATTAGCACAGAGATAGTGTGACACTGTCTCATGTGGAAGTAAAAAATTAGTTTAGAAAATACAAAACAGGCATAGGGAATATGGAAACACAGGGGCATTACACACTGAATGAGAAACTGCTATAAAAAACATCAAAGCAATATCTAGCTTTCCTTTTACTATTCTACAGTGGCGCTTATTTAAGTGGTAGCAAGGAAGACAACAACAAATTAATTCTACTTTCGAAGTCTTGTACTTCTTTATGTTGATTTGAACATCACCTGCAGATTCCCAACACAGGGTTTGGGTAAGTACAGCTTTATATAACTTTTATTTCTTGGGTTCGCTGAAAAAGCTGGAGTGAAAATGGAACTAGTGTCCCCAAAGCAATGGCACAGTTAAAACACTCTACCGGTTCTGGTTCATATACTTCTTATTTTAAAAGGAAACAGCAATGACCAACACAGTGACAAAACTTCCTTGTATGAGACACAAGCTACTGCAAACCAGGTGGTAGTGCCTGCCGAGACTCCTATGAGACAGGAATGCTGCAAGGACATATCCCGTCTGCTACGGTGCACAAGAGGCACCTCTGTTCTCAACTATTAAAACCTCACCACAAGGGACTGAAAATGGCTTTGTACAAACATTACACTTAAGATACTATAAATGATAATAATCCTTTGGCACACTGCTCGTGAACAGCTCAGAAAACAAACACTCAAGAGCTGCTTTTCCACACCTCTTTTCATTTTCTTGTTGCTTCTGAGTGGCCGAGGAAGGAGAGAAGATGCTTTGTGAGCACGCCTGCAATATGAACCAGGAAAAGGAACACATTTTGGAAGCATCATCATAACACTGGGTGCATGCATTGCACCTCGAGCATGGAAGGGGAATGACAGAGCCCAGGGGAACAGACAGCGGTTGAAGAGCAGAAATCCCCTGGAGGAAGTGCCCAAGGCAGGGAGCACACTTCTCCATAGAAGTTGCAGCTTGGTTAGCAACATGCAAGATGTGAAACAGAGGACATAGGTATCTCCTATTTTCTCAATACAGATGCATTTCTGTAGAACGGACAAACTCATGGCTGAACACACAGCAGGGTTCACCTTTACAATTCTGACAGCATCAAGAGACACTAGCGGGAACGATGAAAGAAACCTTGGCAAGAAGAGGAGTATCTGAACCCAAGGACTGTTGAGGAGAAACAAGCTAGGGCCAATGTAAAATACTTTTTCCACTCTTTTCCTTGTTTTTCTTTATCCATCTTGATAAACTTCTCTGATGTACTAAGTACTAGAGCACAGAAGAAAGAAAAAAAATTATCTTATCCTGCAAAATCTAGATAGTGGTAGCAGAGGGGTGGGAACAGAAAGGGCGTAACAAACAGCACTCATTCTGCACACCAAATGAGACATGCTTCTGTAGCAGAGACAGAAACACCCTGCTCTGTGCTGCAAATGCAAAAGGAAGGCTCAAATATGGAAAACAATGCTAGCTTTGATTTAAAACATGATGAAAGTAGTGGTCAGGAGGATACCATACGTTAGAGGTGCTCAGAGGCATCAGTATTGTTGCAATTTCTGAAGAACTCTACTCTTGAAATCTGAGGGAGGAAAAGAAAGGGGTCTTTGCTTGACGATATCAATGAGAACTGTCATTTTCTCATCAGATGACAGCCCAGGCAGTTCTGGGAGAGGCCATCTGTCCTACAAGCACTCCTGCCCTGCTGAGGCCCTCAGCAAGCTTACCAGCATGGCAGCTGATGCTGCAAGGAGAGGGGGAGCACCTCCCCCTTCTTCCTTCACAATGTGGCTTATGCCAAACACAGAGCAAGGGGCTTCCGTTTTCAAATGGGAACAGGCATTTGCTTGTTTGGGCTTAAAAGCCTTCCATAAAGATACCACTTCTGCTGCAAGAAATATTCAGTTAAGTTACAGGTCGGTGAAGATTTTTCACAGTCAGTCAGAAACTATGTAAAATACTACTTTTCATCAGCTTTCCAAATTAACATGACATTCTTAAGACAAAGTCCTCTGGAAGCCGAACAACACGTGAGGGTTCAGGCTGGCTGTTCATGCGTGTACAGAAGCAGCCCCGGAAGCTGTGACAGTCACACATGTCACTGTTTAAACAGATCTAAGTTTTACAAGCCTTAACACTGACGTTTAATTAGGCAAAAGACATAGACAATTCAAGGGACTATATCGCTCACTACTGCCCTCGTTAAAAACGTAAGAAGAATATGGAGCCAAAACTACTTCAGTATCACTACAGTGAGAAATTACAGGAGAAGGATGTAACTCATTACACCTGCCACTCAAGCACAATGCAGAGCCATCCCAGGGGCCAGTCTAACACTACGGAGCCACTGCAACCCAAAACTCCTTCTCCAGGGGGCCTGGTGTACTCACTCCTTCAGCCACCACCTATCTTAGAAAGCACAAGGCATTGTAAACACTTCAAAGACAAGACCATTGCTCTGCATGCAGTTCTCCTTATTGGGATAAGATGAAAGCAAGAGCCACGTGATGGAAACGAAAATCATCTTTTGCCATATTAGTAGAAAATGCCTTGACACTACTGTGATAAAGACATACACGGAACAGAGTAGAACAGGTAAAGAAGCTCATGGAAGATCTCTGTGGAAGCTCAGAGAGTACAGAGCTACAGCGGCAAAACAAACTCCCCAGAGAAATATGCTCCAAATGGCTCCAATCTTTCCAGCCCCAAAGAAATACTTCTGTTCCAAGAGCAGATATCTAAGTGGTACTGCGCGAGGTCTGGAAATACAGTTTGTTTATAAACAGACCACCTACCAACCATAGAAATATATATATACATATATGTACATATGTGTGTATAGATATATATGTATGTGAAAAGTTGAATACTGCAGCTCTTGTTATTAAGTGTGAATTGGATTCTCTTCCCTCCAATTCACCATAATGACAGAGATACAGTCAGTAAATTAGCACATTTTATATTTGGTTAATGAATCAACAACCTGTTTCTTGTAAGACAGAAGAAAGGAGCATCTTTCACAGCTTTCTCTCTGAAAAGGGCAGGAGCTCCAGAATCACTACTACTTTCAATCCAACCTTGCATCTTTGCATGCACGCCACAAGAACTTTCAAATCCACTTTCTTCTTCCCTCCCCCACGATATAAATTAAATTAAACAAGATACACATACGCACAATGCTTTGTATGACTCTAGTTACTCTTTCCTAAGGAGGAAGTGCCCATTGTATTCCTGAGCTGCATTTTCAGAGTGGAGAAATAACAACTTGGGAAGCTAACCCCAGAGAAACATGTGCCAATACTTATTCATGTTTATAGCCAGTGAAGAGATGATGCACACTCAGGAGTGGTTAGATTTTTTTTTTGAAACTACCTACAAATAAGATCAGATGAAATTGCTTCCGAAGACAAAGCAGGGTGCCTGAATCAATCAGCTCCCATTAATGAGATGGTAGAGCGATAAAAACAAATTAAGGAAAAAGGCTATAAATGCTTCACTGAGGATTTTCAAGACTAATATCATCAGCTTTGAATTAAGGCACATTTAGGATTAAACATAAAATATTGGGGCACATACTTGAAACTTGGGTGGCTATCAGTTATCAGAAAATATGTTTAAATTTGTGACTTAACTAAAACAGTTCCTCATCTTTAAAATTTCCAGCTGTAACTACTGGCGTTACTCTCAACGGTCTGAAGGTAAAACTAGCTGGCATTGTGATATAGCTCTACCAAAAAAGAATAAAATCAAGTACATGAATAAGTCACCTCTACAGAATAACAGAACACTGGAGCAACCATAACAGTCCAGAAGTGATTACTTCTTTGCAAAAGTGTTATCCCACACTAAATTGTAAGAACCACTATATATCGTTTGAATGGGCTCTAAAACATCTACTTTTAAGTCCTTTATTCAAAGCAAGGCAGAGGTAGGCACACATGCCAATACTGAAGTTTTCTTCCAGATTACTTTCTTAAATCAAGGTATTCCTGAATTTAAAATACTTGCTGTATTTCCTGCAGAACTGCTCAAATATTACAGTGTTTAAGATTAAAGCCTTTCCTCCCACCTATATTAAACATAGCAGTAGTGAACACTCTCCCAGGAAGCACGCTCCTTTGCGCCTGGGGAATAGACAACAGACAGCACCCAGCCACAGGGAGCTAATGGATCAGGCTACAGAGGCCATCACTCTCAGTAACAGAACAGCTGTCCCCAAACCAGGGCTTGCTGAACCTCCGCCCTAGCCCTGCCCTCAGGTTGAGCCAGCAGAAGTGATTACTCAGAGCCAGGGTTAAGTCATACCACCTGCAGCCATCCGTAACAGAAACCCCCTGCTCCCTCCTCAGATGCAGGACTGGGACACAAGCAGGGATTTCAGAAGCATGCTGTCTACTTGCAGGGGTCTCCCAGAGTTTCTGGCCCATGGCGCTCTGAACTGGTATCTCTCGCCAGGCTGAAGAATCACGTTGCTCCTCTGCAACGCGATTATTTTTCAGCTCTCAGGGAGAGATAGCTGGATGCTGATCTCATGGAAAAGCCTTACTTTGTCCTGCCCTGAAACATCACCTTTGCAAATAGCTACACAGCTGTCCTGCCCTAAAACATTATAAACAGCATATTTACCTGTTCCTCTGCTGTCCTGGCAGGAGAATTTGGAAGAGTATAGTATATGTGCATTCAAAAACCAATTCCCAGATTGGTCAGCGCTGTTTATTCATTCACTGGTTACAGCACAGCACTGCCTCACAGGCTGCCTATCTGGCATCTTCAGCTCGGACAGAGTAACCTAGCACATCAACATGCAAACTGGGCAAGACAAGAGCTGCTCATGCAGGGGACGTGCACAGTGCAGTATTACTGTACCTTTTCCTTTTCAGTCCACACAGAAAGGGTCAAAAGAGAAAAGAAAAAGGCAGAAATCAATATAAAGGAAAGGAATCAAGAACGGCACATGTAATAATCTTCAAAGTCCAAGAGAATCTCCAGATTTTGCTGACAGTGTTTTCTTTTGTTAACACTTCATCTTTTGATTTATTCAAGCAACTGAGAGAATGCTGTGAGAGCTATCATTGTAAAAACAAGCAGTTTAAAAAGTGTATCGAGTCACCACAGAAAAATGAGTTTTTACATTTTGACCTCATTGTACTGAAGACAAAAAAAAAAAAAAAAAAAAAGAGGAAACAATACTGGAAGTCTACAGTGACACAGCTAGTACAATTATTGTCAACAGTTGTCACTAGACAGACAGCCAATTCCACGTTAACTTTAAAAAACATCAGTGACAACGGTCCCCAAAATTGAGTTTTAATGATAACATTAGGTACCTACAGTACCCATTTTCTCAAGATATCATGCTATCCCTCCACCCTTACAAAGACTCAGGACACTAACCACAAGCTTTAAGGTGAACAGAGAAAATAAATGGTTCACACTAATCAAAAACAAGTTTAGCTATACAGAAATTTTCTGTCCAGAAGGTAAAATATCCATGCAGAGTGGTACATTTCAGTGCGTTCTGTCTAAGGGCTAGGTTTCGAGTAGGGTAACGTCCCCTTAGGTCTTCTAGAAAGATGGAGGAAAAACAGTCTAAACAAATTCTAAACGTTATTTGCTTATTGTTACACACTTGCTAGGAAGAGCACTTCTCACACTCTAGCTATTAAGGCTCAAAGAAAAGTCATGGCATAGATTAACTGTTCAATTTCATCATATTCAACCTCCAAATATGGTTTCTCTCATTTATATAAGTAATCCTCCAAATGAGTACAGTAATGAGCCAACGGTCATGTTCCTAAGGCACAGAAAACTGCCGCTACCCCAATGTGCTAACAAAGCATGAAGCAGAATTAAAGTACCTGAAAGAGAGGTAAAAGACAAGAGAGCCAAACTCCCCTCAGAAATGCCACGTGATCAATATAATATGGATTATATTGATCAGGGCAAATACCACAAACTGCAAATCGAGGTGTTTAGACAGGCTGCTGGGAAAATCTTCTCCCCCCAAAAGGTTGTGCAGACCTGAAACAGATTACCAGCAGAGCGTGTGCATGCCCATGCGTGTGTTGGGGGATGTTTCCCATCCTCATGAGCTTTTCAAGATTTGGTAGACAAAGCCAGGGCTGCCCTGCTCCAGTGTTGGTGATAGTCCTGCTCTGAACAGGAGGTGTGACTGGAGACCTCCAGACATCCCTTCTCATCAGCAATCCCTTCCTGAAAGGAATGGGATTCCTTTCTGAATGCATTCATGATAACACAACCCAGTACATAGTTGTATAAGCATTATCTTTATATATTTCAATAGATCAGAAAGCTTCAAGTCCCTGTTGCAAGTACTCAGAGAAGAGCTTCAAAGCATTCACATTTATTTTAATAAAAGCCATGGAACTTTCAAATACGGAAAAGCTGGCATTGCGTCAAACTTCTAACAGCGTAAGATGAACTGGGTAACTACAGGCTATACAGCCTAAAAGAGGCCAGAACAATAGCAAATCCAAAACTAACCAACAGTGTCACAGAGAAAATTGTGTTTAAACACGCCTGTGTTCTGCAATTAAAAAATAACTTTTTAAAACTTTACAAAATGCATCAACTGACATATAGAATATTAAGCATCTTGGACACGTAGGCATTCAGTTGCCTATCCTCTTAAGCTGGGCTTGATGCAGACAAACATCACTCCATAAAGACCATTAAGAATGATCTCAAGACGTATACATTTCCCTTTACATGTTCATGCAGATTCCTGGAGCCCCTTCTGGAGCAGAAAATGCTAAAACAATACCTGTTTAGTATGACACTTGCAGAGAACAGTTCAAAAGCATACAAACTTCTTTAAGTGTCTGCATATAAAGACATCAACGTGAAATCTTAATCGTTGCAAAAATGTGTTTTAAAGATATCTCCACATATTGGACAAATCTTAGAAAAAGCACAAAGGTCTACCAGTAACAAAATCAGTAAGATCATTAGTTGACTGTAGCAGACAAGAACTTATCTATATTCAGATTTAGCACATCCTGTCAATATTTCAACACCGGAGTGAGCAAATGCCAGGAAATAGTTTAATATCTAGATTCTGTGGAAGTGAGGCTTACACTGTCAGGCCTTCCCATTCTTCTGCTGTGCCCTCTCACTCCATAACTTTTGGTCTGTTGAATAACTTTAGCCAACTTTGAGAGAAAATTGAAGACGATAATGAAGTTTCTAAAACTGTTACAAACTCGTTAGAGCATAGACAAAAGGGACACAAACTAGATGCTCATGGGAGCACTCCAAGAGCAGTTCTCATGAAGTGGGTTAGCCAGACAATCAGATGACAGAGGCATAGCTCAAAAACTTTTTAAAGGTAGTTTGGTGATACAGGAAAAAGAAAAGAATAACGGGGTGAAGGGACATGCAAGTGATTGGGGCAGCGGAGGGCCAGGGAAGAAGAAACCTATGATCGAAGGCCACAGGCAGCCATGCTTCAGAAGTTCTGCTTCCCAAGAAACACATTTTAATTCAACTAATCCTTATAGCTATTAGGGCAGAGGGAGGAAGACTGTTAACACTGTACAAGATGAACGAATACTGATTCTGGTTTCTGCTACATGAAAACAAAGTAGTTTATATTTAAACACAGAAAGGCCTCTCTGTATGACTGCCAATGAGGTATGGATCATTTCAAAAGGGCTAAATTTCTTCATATCCACGTGCCAAACTCCAACAAAGCAGAAGTAAAAACTACACAAATAAGAACAACTGAAACTATTTGTTGCACTTAACTTTTTTACTGAAACAAAATCACATTTAGTGCAAACAGAGTATTTTAAAAACCCATCCTGAAGCTCTTTCTTTAGCTATTTTTTTTTAAAAGACCATTAAAATGCAAAACCTAAAACCTTTTTTTGTTACTTACCAAAAATTAGTGCTAATCCATGGGAAGTCCCCACTGCTATCAGATTTGATGCTGCCTTAAAAAGTCAAGCAGAAAGATTCAAAGTTTAGAAATGTCAGTCACAAATCCACCATTGAAACTCTCTCAGTACATTCACCCAAAGATTCCAGAAGTGGAAGATTTAGGTGGTTATACATATAACCATGTTCTCTGCCCCCAGAAGCCAGATTTTTCATGCTGCTCCTCCCACCCTTCATAACTGAAGATTCTTAGCGAGGACAAGAAGAGAGACGCGTTTATCAGCTGTATTACATTATTGCTTAAACAAGTTTAAACATACTTAGATGAAGACTAACTATATAATATTTGAAAATTGTCTGAGTACTTACTATTGCAGTGGGCAAGCCTGCATCCACTTTGTCCTAGAAAGACAGGACAAGTTATGAGGAAGAAGGACAAGTTACGAGTAAGAGAGGCAGAGTTCCCAGGTCTCTAATAATTAGAGCTACAAAATGCAAAAAAAGAAAAAACAAACAACACAAGTGGCATTTTAACAGTTTCACCAGGAACAGAAAGTACAGAGGGAACTGCTGACTAGAAACACCCAGATGAGATGAGAAAGTACACAGAAATAGAGAAGTAATAACAGTCTTCAGTGTTTGCTGTACATAGCACAGACACCTAACACAACTACTTTGCTCTTCTCCCCTCTCAAGCATACCTCATCACCTTTCCATTCCAGTGGCTCACCCGCACCTCCAACAACACAATTAACAACTAGCTACAGCACAGTAACTTTTAGACTACAGTCATATAACCATCATAGAAACACTCACTGATGAGTCACTTCCATTTTATTTTAACAAATGTGCCTTGCATGCTTTGGAAATCACATGCTTTAGAAATCCTCACCTTAACTCTGACAGTCAGTGTCCCCCTGGCAGTACAATCTACAGACAGGCTCTATTCTATTCTCATTCCATGTCAGAGTCACAGATCCAGGCCTGTGCAAGCATGGTTCCCACTGAGCTCAGAAGGATGGATTTCCTCTATACCTGATGCAGGCATTAGACAAACTTGTTTCCAGCATCTTTAAGTAAGCAGACCAATAGCACTGTTGTTATTTTATATTAATATTTCCCACCAAGTTTAATGATATTTAACTGCTGCAAGAAGCCAGCTAATACTTGAGTCACTGCTAGTTAGAGATTATTAGTAGCAAGTAGGTTATGTAACATGCTAATGTGAACCAGAACTAATAGCAGGGGGAGGGAAATCACACAGACACACACACCCCCCTCCACACCACAACACGTACAGATTTTACTTAATGAACACGACCGGGAAATAGAGACACTTACTGCTGCAGATACTATTTGGGCAGAAATTCCTTTCAGAAGTGAGAGCCGTATAACTGATCCATGGAGAGAGAGAGAATCAGGGAGTTTTTTCTTTCTAAGGAAAGAAAATAAACCAGACACATTAGAGCAGAATAAAAGTTTAGAACCTTGTTTAAACCACAGCTAAACCAGAAAGTAAATTCTGCAGGCACCCATATAACCCACACAGCTTCTGTTCTTCTGCCTGAGGCCCACATACATAGAGCCAAGTAGG